AAATAATATTTTTAATATATATAGCAACTCATAATAAGTCATATAACTAATCAAATATTGAAATTCCATAACATAAATATAAAGCAAAAATAAATTTTCATGTCAAATTCTATAATAGAAAATATTTGATTTATAAATTAATTTTTCATGTTTAGTTAAAAAGATAAAATAAAATAAAATTTGGATCTTAAAAAAAAACTATAAACTGCGTGTCGGAGCGTTGACCACTTCGAAAAATGTTGACTGCGTGTCAAAATGTATTGGTGTCCAACACGCATTTTTCACCCAAAAAAATGTGTCAGTGCTTCCCGGGTAACAGATGTAGAACTTCATGTTAGAGCTTTTGAATTACTTCTCGTACAATACTTATAATACAGGAAAAATTTCAAAAAACCCCAATAAGTTTTCTCTAGAATCACTTACCTTCCCTCCAAAATTTTGAATCATTTACACCCTTAAAATTTCTTTATTACTTACCCCCTAACTTAATTTTTCATCCAAAAATAAAGTTAACAGAATTAATTTTTTTTAAAAAAATACCTTAACTACCCTTAAAAAAAACATAGAGGAACCCTTAATGTCCTGTGGCTACGACTTGCATCACCTTGTCTTCATCTGATGCGCCATAACCTTCTTCTTTATAACTGTAGAGGAAGAGAGAGAACACAAAGCACAAATTTGAAATAGGAGGAGGAGAAAAATTTGTAAGTATTGTTGTGTTGGATTTCGTATATCTGGGTGTGTATCTCTTTTTGTGTGAAACTTGTGGCTCTGTAATTTTTGTCCTTTGTGTTTATGTTTTTTACAACTATTTTGTCTTCTTTCCCTCCAAACGCCAATTCTTGCACAACATAACCCACCATTTATAGTGAACTGGATATTTTTCTTGTTCTTTTCATGGTCAACACTTATTTTAGATTTTGTTGATGTTGTGTGTGTGTGTTGAATCAATGGTTATTTTCAAGTCAAAAAATTTCGAGATTACTCTTGTTAAATTATTGTTTTCTGGGTAACTTTTATTTGTGATGTTTTCTGGGTGCCTTTTGATGGAGATGGCGATTCAATTTGAAATTTTTTATCTTGATTTTGTTTTTTTACTTATGCGAAGGTTAGATTTATTTATTTTTCCTTTTGTTTTTTCCATGTGTTTCCTTTATATGGTTCTTTTTGTTGCTCCTCCGGGCATGTGATCAAAAGAGTTAATGGAATGAAATTTTTTGAGTGAAAACAAATTATGACACTTTCACATGGGTAGGTTGGAAGTCTTTTATATAAACACCCATAATGTTAGCTTCTTCTACGGTGTTTTTTTTGCTTTGTTTTTAGGGTAATTTGGTATATTTTTAAGAAATTAAATCTGTTAACTTTAGTATAAAAAATCAAGTTAAAGGATAAGTGATAAAAAAACTTTAAAGAATGGTGTAAATAATTAAAAATTTCAGATAAAGGTAAGTGATTCTGAGAAAACCTACGGGACTTTTTGATGTTTTTCTTATGGGAAGGGCTATATTTAGAATCATTTTGTTTACAAACTACACTGTGTACTCCCGCAAGTACATTATGTTACACTATGTACTTCCAGGAATAAATAGTATAATTTGCAAAATTTTGTAAAAAAAGTTTGTAAACGGATCCTTCCCTATTTCTTATAATATATGGACAATCAAATACAATATAACTTTTTTTTTAACAAATCAAATCATAGAAGGATGTAATATCAATATTCATCAAATATCCTAATATTTGATTAAAAGTGTTATACACATAACACACTTCTCATAAAATATGATAGAAATATATATTTAAAAATTTAAGAATTTTATGATTCAATTTTATTTTATTTATTTTAATGATATATTTTACAATCAATTTTTTAAATATATATATATATATATATACCAATCAACGGTTGTCATTTATTTGGAATTACACTTATTAATTAATTATTAATTCCAATAAATGATAATCGTTGATTAGCGAAAATCAACGGTTGAGATTTGGTGTCAAATTTCAAAATTTCACACCGATGACAAAGAATTCTGCCTCATATATATATATATATATACATATATATATATATATGTATATGTATATGTATATATATATATATATATACATATATATATATGTATATGGAGTTTACATTTCTGCAGCTGTGCAGCAGTTAAATACTTGTCATATATATATATATATGTATATATATATATATATATATATATATATAAATATATATATGTATATGGAGTTTACATTTCTGCAGCTGTGCAGCAGTTAAATACTTGTCATATATATAGTGAAAGCATTAAATATGAGAAATCATAACTATACACCTGTCATTGCTATACGTAAAACGGCTATAGATTCGATTTTACTTATATATTTAATTAAATTTTTTAGGATATGAAAAATATTTATAATTATTATTTTTAATTCTAATTTTTATAAAATAATTTTCTAACTCCATCTTAATTATATTTTGATAACTTATTTTAAAGACATTATATACTAAATAAATTTTTATGTTATCTCATTCATAAAGTTTTTAACACGTATACGAAAAATGAAATAAATATAAATGAAATAAATTTATAATATATATTTTTTATGGTTCAAGCGACGACCCTTTATGAACGTCGGCTTTAAGACAGCCATACAGAACCGACGAGAAGAGGAAAAAGGTTCAAGAAAGGATACAATGCATTGCTGTAGGGTTTGAAATATCAATAAAATTATCTTATTGGACTTTTTCAAATATTATTATCATTAGAACTTGCAAAATTATGATTAATATAAAAAATTATAAATATTTAATACAATAACATCTTTAGAATATTTTTATAATGAGTATTTTTATAATAAAGTATGAATATTTTTTAATTTATTAAAAATGAATACAGTTTGACTGTTATTTTTTTAAATGGTAAGGTAAAATTAAAAACTAAGTGTATATATATATATATATATATATATATATATATATATATATATATATGTATGTATGAACGAAATAAGAAGTCAAAAACTAGAGCAAAATAATCATACAATGAAAAATAATCTAAATTTAGAAAATTTCTATGCAATAATAATAGTGAAAAAACTTTTATGTTATATATAAATAAATGGATGGATAAATTATAGTAATTCTTTTTTGTAATAGTTATAGTAATTTTTTTCATACACAAAAAAATAAAATTTTATAATTATATTTTTGAAGGTCATTTTATTGTTTTATTTTTATTTTCCTAAAAAGAACACATCTTAATATTTTTCAATCAATCATATACGCCTTGTTGACAACAATCATTTGGGACCTTCCTAACTTTTAATATATTTTCGAGAATTAATGTAATTTATGTTTGAGCTTGAATGGTGGGAACAGCTTGAGTTTAAAATATTTTCTGAACATCATTTTAAATTAATTAATCCCGAAAAATATTAACCAAATATTAAATCAAACCCAAAACACGCAAGGCGATGTTTGTTTCAAGATATTTAAATACATTTTTATAATTTCATTTCCAGGAATATTATGATAAGAATGCTATCCTGGGATATTTTAGAAAAATTTGTTTAGTTGACAATTAAAATTCCTATTTTTTTTAGAAATTACAAAGGATAACTAAAATATTTATTTAATTCACAAAGTACATTCCACAGAACACATTTTAAAATTCTCAAAATGCCCGTACTATATAATATGCTATTTAAATATTATTCTTTTAATGTAATTGATAACAAATAAAAACCAAGATGATTATTATACTGTACTATAAAATAATTTATGGTATTCGTTTATACCAATTATTGTAATTTTATAATAATTTTTGTAACTGATCATATAATTACTCATCAATTATTTGCAAACAATTCATAGTACAACCCGCACATAACTTAAGGGTGGGAGTTACCGACTGATAAGTGAATATTTTTGTATTTCTAAACCCAGACTAATATTTTGATTGCTACTATCACTATTAGCATTTATCACTGTAGTCATCAAATTCATCTCCCATTTCTTGACAATTTTTATTGGCAGTATCATATCGTTTATCAAGTCTATTGACATTATCTTGTTCTTATATGAGTATAATTTAAAAAAATAAAAAAAATAGATTAATGGGTATAAAAAAGGAAAACTAAACCCAAAGTCGAAGCCTTAAAACTCTTCCTTGCAAAACTATGGTTGTAAGCTGATCATCTGTACAATTGGATTCACAGGAGGTTTATAGCCTCTAAATGGTATAATAATAAAAAAATCTTTTTCATTGAAAATTTTTCAACTTCGTATGATGTTGAAGATATATAGTCCCACATTGGTTGTATGTGCAACTAATGTGGCCTTTATAAGGCCTTGGGCACTCCCACCCTTTGAGCTAGCTTTTGAGGTGGTGTATCCCAAGGTTCTTTACATGGTATCAGAGCCTCACCGTCCCCACTTTAAAGTGGAATTAAAAACAAAAAGCACAAAAGGTAAACCAAAAATTGGGCCTGTGCATAATCCACGCTTCAAGCCCAAAGGGCTCTCGTGTGAGGGGGCGTGTCGAAGATATATAGTCCCACATTGGTTGTATGTGCAACTAATGTGGCCTTTATAAGGCCTTGGGCACTCCCACCCTTTGAGCTAGCTTTTAGGGTGGTGTATCCCAAGGTTCTTTACATATGATACATGATTTTATATTAAAAATTATAAATTTTTAATTTGATTTTCATATTATATGATACCCAATACGATATTGCATCATACTATACACAATACAATATTGTATCATATTATCTGATATAACCCCCTTTTCCAATATACCACCTCGATACATATCCTTACGCTTGTAAATCGTATCGTAATCTGTATCATACAATATTAATAACTATGTTCTTAAGCAAATTTGATGCCCATGTGACAGGGAATAAAAAATACATACCCTATCCCGTAAAATTCAATAAGAACATTTTACCAAAAAAAATAAAATAAATTCAATAAGAACTGTAGCATTTTAGCACCTTAATGTAACAGTTCATATATGAAAGCATTCTCCATTCCAGTTCTAAAAATGACATCACCCATATAGTTGTCATAAACCAGAGGTAAAAGAAGAGTTAAAAAAAAAAAGTTACTGAAAACATTTGTTCTGCTCCTGAAAAAACAAAATGGAGCTTAGATATGCTTTCCATGCACACCACTCCCAAAGAAAACACCACCAAAAGAGGCATTTTAACACTACTCAGACAACATTTAACCAGCATCTTTTAATCAAAGGATGGTACCTAAACATCTACAAACTGGGGGAGTATTGATATATGTATATCTAGCAAAAAGATTGTGGCTATTGTAAAGATATCTGAGTAAATAATTCCTCGAGCTGATTTTCCTTTATCACCACACCATGTTTCTGGGTAAAAACTGCATCTTTGACAGAACTAATACTATCATCTGTGATAGCATCTGCAACAGATATGTTGACGTATTCACTCAGGTTGTGCACTGTTCCATCTGCATGGATGAATATACTGTAAGAGTAAGCAACTCAGAATACATTCATTAATATCAAACATATAACCATTGGCTCATCCTATAAATAGCAAATATTCTTTTTCAAAATCAACATCAACATCAACAACACCTTTATTCCAAACTAATTAGGATCAGTGGTAGATGAACCCAAATGAAAGGTACAAAAGGTTAAAAATAAAAATAAATAAAACAATAATAATATATATAAATAAAAATAAAAATAAAAATAAAAGGGGTGTAAAAATAATAAAATAAGAAGAAGAAGAAGAAGAAGAAGGGGAAGAAGAAGATGAGGAAGGGGAAAAGAAATAAAGGAAAAGAAGAAGAGAGAGGAGATGAAGAAGAAAAGGACTAAAAAGGAACCATCTGAAAGTATGATCCAATTTAATATTATCAAACTTCAATCATAGAAGTATTTAAAAGTTGCTTTCTCCATCCATATATATCTTTTTACTATGACATGTAGCATAATGATCTGTTCATGTCAAAGCCAAACAAGTCCATTTTTTCAATTACAATTTTTCCCAGTCATTACCTTCAGCAACTATGGGTTCATGTGGAGGAGGTTCTCTATTCCAGTTTCCATCAGAATCTTTCATGTGCCTTCTATCAGATGCAAAACAACGAAGGAACATGGGAGCATGCACAACTCTGAATAATCTGATATCAAAAGAAACCATTTCATATACTTCAATACTTTGGTATCAAACTATACATCATTCATCAACAATCAATCGGTTATTTCATCAACGGAACTAAGGAAACATATCTAATCAAAGTTTATAAGAAAGGAGAAAGGATGATATGATACAATATCAAAGAAAAAAAGATTTCGACAATATGATATCAAATGCTTGGGTCCTTAGAGTATGTTTTCAAACATTGACTTTGATAAGTATTTAATAGCACCAAAAAACAAAGTGTTATAAACAGGCATAATAAAAACATAATACTAATAGAAAAAATTGACATTACACTGTAAAATTGGTTAGTTAACTAACAGTTTATCATACTGTACAATATTTATAAGAAGTAGGAGAGTTACCTGGTGCTTGACAATCAACCAAGAATGCAAGAAAGTATTTCTTTGGCCGAATTGTGGTAAGAAAGAATTTAAATCGAAAAAACACACACAAAATACATTTTGGTTTTACTTGAGTCTAGTTCACTGACTCTCGACCAATTTAGATAGGAGAGATTTAAACCTTGGGTTCTTCTTAAGGTTCCACCTTGACAAATCCATTATGTAATCCAAAGCTCCCTCTAAGGTCAAATCTTTTGTCTGTACAACAGTACATAACAGGATTCATACAAATGACTTGCTGCAGATTCATAGAACTTAGATTACTCTCTTTCTGATATATGTTATGCACTACGTACAAATCTAGATCTGAGACAGTAGGCCACTTATTCTTGCATTGCAAGGTATCTAGTTTCCTTCGGCACAATGTTTTTGGGATTATTGGTGGGCACTGGTATGTCCCTCTACTCTAGAGCAGTTTTTGTTCGTCTGATATAAACGATTCGATAAAAGCAAGGAGACTGATAGGAATATACTCATGAAGGTGTATGTAAGGTAGGTAGTAGGGGATTATGTTCTACCAATGAGGTGGCATAACTAACTTTAGAATATTCTAGGAGGTTAGGTTGAGTATAAGATAGGGAATGTGAAGTGTGTGAGGGTATCTTGGAAATTGGGACTCTTGGGAGAGAACCAGAACCTCTCAAATTGTTCTGGATATCAGTGTTTGTATTTTGTTAATTCCCAGTCTTGTAGCTTTTGCTTGTTCTATAATTTCCCTTGTAGCATTTTGATCTGTAACTAGCTATCTCAATTTACCAATATTGTAAATTTCCATATCAGCAATACAAGTTTCCATTTCCATTCAGAAAATCTTAGTTGCTTATGTTAATTTTCTGGTTCTAGATTTGAGGTCTCTATCAGAGACTAAGATTTCATGGCAGTTTGCAGTTCATGCAATCCTCTGGTGTGTGTGGTTGGTTTCTGCCACCAATTTTGATTTGGGAAGGAGTCATTTTTTTTGTTTCGCTGTGATGTTCTGCTCATGGATATATCAACGGTGTTACAACCACAGATTCATAGGGATATTGGGAAGCCTTGCTGCATACTTTTTTTACCTGTTATTTGTATTTAGTCTTCTCTATTTTGGGGGATTTCTTATCCTCCCCCTCAATGGTATTTCTCTTCATTCTTAAATGAAATTTGAAAGGATGCCAACATCAATAACCATTTCAGACAACCTAAAAAGATGATTAAATGAGGAACCTAATTGAAAATCATTATAATATCGTATCATAATCATTACTTCCACAAATAACAAGGACAGGAAACCATACATGCACTTCATAACATGACAGTAGGGGATAAAAAACTGTGCACCCTATACAAAAAAAAAAGTCTTCTTAGAAACCAAAAAAAAGAAGAAGGGAAAATAACAGCAATACTTCTAGGGTTTCTAAATATCTTTCTTTGTACTTAAATCATCCAGGGCAAGGAAGTATGGAAGGAAAATAAGTAAACATACAGATCATAATTGTGTCTTTTCACCCATGTCAAAAAACGCAGATAAAAACCCTTAGGTCAATGTCACCGACCCCAGGGTGTCTAGATTTTAATATCTTAGAAGAAAAATCATGGCTACCATTATGTGACATATGCACAGCCTAGACATGCATCACTATCAACTGCAGATTCGCAATATCAATGAAAAAATTGTATAGCACCAAAATACCCAGTTAAAACTGGACAAAGTGGCAGAAAAACAGATAGTGCATTACCTATTATAATCAGAAAAAAGCTGAAAAGATGGGCGAATTGTTTCGGACACATATGAAGGCAGAGGTGAAGGAAAAGGAAGACTTGAATCTAAATCCCACACAAGTGGAGGGCCACCTCCCTGATTTATCTGCCATGCCAACCACAAGAAAAGAATGACAAATGATACCCTATTTAGATATAGAATAAAATGCTTTTAAAACCTAGTATATGGCTACCTCAACTTATTGAAAGGAAATACATATTTGGCAATACCTGAATGCAAATGACATGGTAATCCCAGAGAATAATCCCATCTGCTCTTGTGCTTGACTTTTGATTCCAGAGGGGTATCTAGAGAACTTAAGAAAAATACTTCAAAATTCAAATACTAATTAAAATTCAATTGTAATTTCGGAATAAGCTATAATGGATGAGTCTACAATTCAAATATGCACAAAGGTTTAGCCATGTAATTAGTACTCTGTCCCCATGTCAGCATTACAGAAAAGAAGCAAATGACATGAAAGTTAAACACCGGCTATGTTCCAAATAGCAAAAATTGACAAATTTTTTTTTTTTTTCATATTCAACTTGCACGGTGCTAGATCTAGATACAGAGAATCATTCCCTTCCTCATTATCATTCTTCCCCATCACTTTTTTGCAAGTGTGAGCAAGAAATGAGAGAAATTACAACTAGGGGCAGGATAAGAATCCCAATTTAAAAGAAAATAAAAGAAGTAAAAAAAGCATCGAGCAAAAGAGGCTCAAATAGTATCAATTAATATTCACAATAATCAAGTCTATGCCATGAATCCCCTTGAACTAGAAAAGCATCAAATAGATCACCCCTACGAAGAAGTAATAGTACATGCCTGTTTCTTTTCATTGGAAATGAAAACAACAAAAAGATCAGATCCCTCAGCATTTGCTATTCCATCACTGCACAACTTCTTGCAAAGCAAGTATACATTCTCCTCACTACAAACAAATAAGAGGGGGGGGAAAAATCATAAAAAGGCTATAGCATATTACCATATTTAATTATACAAGAATTTTATTTAAAAAAAAATAAATAGAAATTGATCAAAGTAAGTAAAAAATGAAATTTCCAAAACTAATCAAGATGATGAAATAATAAGTTAAAAAAAAAACACAGAATGTATCCCCAAAAATTAATTGACACCAATACCAAAACCCTATTCATTAAAAAAAATAAAAAAAATAAAAATCGGTGTCAGTAAAATTGGATAAGTAAATGATTATTTCTTTCTATCACTAATATCTATTCTCTAGCATCAAGCATGCATGATCAGAACAGAAACCAGAGTGTAAAAAAGGTTACCAATAAAAAGGGGTGTGATGGAAGTGAGAAACATCCACAATTGAGGTTGCCATCGTTGTCTACAACACTCAGCTGTCAGCAGCAACGTTCCTACAACAATATTATAGGTGCGAATCTTCTTAATAAAATGAGCAGGGAACGAAACCCAAAACCGGCCCATACTTTAAATGAAACGCAGCGTTTAGCGACTAAGGAGTGAGGTCACACGACCAATCACACTAATCGTAACAATAAATAAGAGAGCAAGATCAACGACGGAACTGCACTGCGTGTGCCAACAGATTTAAAAAAAATGATTTTTCTTTTCTCATACAAATCATTTCAAACAATATTAAATGGTTATATAATTAACTTAGGGAAATAGTAGTATGAGATTATTATCTTATACCATATATATTTCGATAATTGTGCTGCTATTTTTTCTCTCTTTATTCTTTCTTTTTTTAATAGTAAATCTCATCATTTTGTGTCTTAGCATAAAATATGCTCTCTCTTACAATATAAGAGTAAACAACCTCGTTAACTTATCATTTAATTACAATTAATTTTTAAGAGGGGGTGCTATGCAAATTCCACGTGACACAGAGTGTGTCATTTATGCCGCTAAAGAAATTAAGTAAATTTTGAAATGCATTATTTTAGTAATTTTTATCTGAATAAAGTATTTTTTCGATCCTTAACAAAAAAAATACGGGTTACTTTTAATTTCTCAAAAAAAAAAGTTATTTTCGATCTCTCTAAAATTTAAAATAAACTCAAAAAATCGTGATCCTTTTGAAATATAAAGAAGACCCCATATTAGTTCCTCAAAAGAATTAATATGGGCTTATTTTGAATTTCAGAAATAATACGGGTCGATTTTTTCGTAAGAGATTAAAGACAACAGGTATACTTATTATTAGAAAAGTTTACTACTATTACAACTAATTTAATCATTTGTTAATTTCCGCTAATCTAACAGTTATAATTTATTAAAAATTAAAAATTAATTAATAAATATAAACTAATAAATATTATTAAGGGAAAAACTAATCTTATGTTACATGTGACAAATCTCTCTCCTACACACCATTCGATAATTGTGCCACCTTTTTCTTTTCTTTTTATTTTTCAGGTGGTGGAGCCCACAAATTTATCTCTATGTCATGAGATAACTTATCTCTTTTAACATGAGATTAATAAAATTCTATTATTAATCATAATAAATTATAACTATTAGATTGATGAAAATCAAATGATAATTAAATTAATGTAAGAGTGATAAATAATAAATATATTTGTGCCCGAAATTAAATTATAACTCGTAATATTTGTTTAAGACCAAAAGTTTTTTTTTTTTTTACCCAAAGTGGTGAATCACCCCACCACTTAAAGAAAATAAAATTATTTTGGTTAAAATTACATTGTGTGCGTTTTGTAAGCACAACGTCGTGTGCGGGATAATAAATTGTTTTCCCAAGTTGCTCCGCCGTAAAACACCGTCGCCGGAGGCGGAGAAAAAGAGAGTGTGTGACGATTAATCATATCAAGTGTTGCAATAGCATCATACGTACCTGAACTATCTCAATTCGCACTAGGGCACAGAAAACGAGGGTTTTTGCAGCTAAATTTAGTTGATTTTGTCACGGTGGGTCTTCATCCTTGTTATCTTTTTCCATAGATATATTTTTTTTTAATTTATTGTATTTTCTGGCACATTTCAATTGAAGTTGTCTTTTTTCTTTTTCCTACACTTTCTAGGCTTTATTTAGAAACTAGGTTTTATGAGCAGTACTATATTTGACACCTATTTGGGCTTCGTAAACTGGAAGGTTAGGTGTGATGCTGTTATATGGGCGCAATGGACTCTGTTATTCTGGAGTTAACTTTCCTGAATTATTATATTGGGTTTCAGATTAGTGTGGTGTTAATGTGATTATTAAATGGTTGAAGTCATTGTTGTAGTTAATCAGTGTTTACAGTATATGATTAATTTGTAATTTGGGGTGCAGAGCTCAGAACAAATTAAAGAGTTAAATTAGTAAATATACGATATGTGATTAATTTGCATTTTATTCTGGAGAATGCTACTCTTTAGCTCAGAAGTTCTAGTAGCATTTATAATGTTTGTCACAATGTTATTCTTCAAATTTGTAACCGACCTTAAAAAAAATGCTAGTAATTTATTTTCTTTCAAAAACAATTCAAATATATCAAAGCTAAAGATATATAGAGGATATAGTTTCGAGTAAATTTTACTAAGTTCAAGCTACGTGCTTGGATTTTGTATTCTGGATTTCCTGAGCATTGAACAATGATACAGTTTTTAGCCTTGTAGGTAATGGAAGACCACTGCGATTCACTTAGTCCATTAGATATCGGTGCAGATAGGTGTGAAGAAGAGTTGAGGCGTCATTCAGCAATGGAGTGCAGACCTGAGATCCATAATTCAGATGAGTATGATGTTGTTCCTACACCACAGGATGGGATGGTATTTAGTTCGGAGGATGAGGTGAGATCGTATTATACAAAATATGCCAACCAAGAAGGTTTTGGTATCATGACAAGAACATCAAAAAAGGTTGGGAATGGTAAGGTTGGATATTTTATACTTGCATGTTCCAGAGAAGGAAATAGAAGAACCAGTAAAAAAAATCCCATCAGAAATTGTCCATCAAGGAAACAGAAGTGTGAAGCCAGGATCAGTGTTTATTTATGTAAAGATGGAGCCTACGGAATTAAATCAGTTACGCTTAATCACAATCATGAATTGAGTCCCGGTCAAGTCAAGTCTAGAAATAATGTTGATATTAACATGAGGTTGAAAAGGACATTAGATCCAAATGATCAAGATGAGGAAAAAGTAAAGAAGAGTTTCCGGTCTCTTGTGGTTGAAGCTAAGGTCCATGAAAATTTGGCAGTTTATGAAAATGGTTTCGGAAATTACATTCAGAAAGAAAAACGACTTATCGGGAAGGATGGAGATGGTTATGCGCTTTATAAGTATTTTATGTGGATGCAAGAACAAGATAGCAATTTTTTTTATGTGATTGACTTTGATGATTGCTTCTGTATGCGGAGTGTTTTTTGGGCTGATGCAAGAAGTAGAGCTGCATACAAATCATTTGGTGATGTGGTGAAATTCGATACTACTTATCTCTCTAATCAATACAAAGTGCCTCTTGCATCCTTTGTTGGAGTTAACCATCATGGACAATCTATACTTTTTGGTATTGGGTTGTTGTCTAGCCAAGACACACAGTCATTTGTTTGGTTGTTTCAGTCCTGGCTAGTTTGCATGTCTGGCATTCCCCCCAAAGGTATCATAACAGATCAATGCAAGCCCATGCAGAATGCAATCGGAGTTGTATTCCCCTCCACTCGACATTCTTGGTGTTCATCAGATATTATGAAAAAGCTTCCTCAGAATATAGGGGGATATGCTGAGTACAAGTCCATAAGTTACCATTTGCAGAATGCTGTATATGACACATTCACTACAAATGAATTTGAAATGGTTTGGAAGAAGATTATGGAGGAATATGGCCTAGAGGACAATAAATGGTTGAAGGATTTGTTCCTTGAAAGACATATCTGGGTTCCTGCCTTTGTAAGATATAGCTTTTGGGCTGGAATGTCTACAACCCAACGTGGCGAAAGTAAGCATGCTTTTTTTGATGGATTCTTAAATGGCCAAACAACTTTGAAACAATTTGTTGATAAATATGATATTGCATTGCAAGCCAAAGCAGAGAGAGAGTTTGAAGCTGATTTCCGTTCAGTTTGTAGCTCTCTTGCATGTGCTACCAAGTCTCCATTTGAGCGGCAGTTCCAATCTGCATACACTCATGCAAAATTTCTAGAGGTTCGGAAAGAATTTGTAGGAAAGGCTGATTGTAATGTTTGTGTTGCCCATGATGAAGGTTCTATTTGTCGCTATAATGTCATTGAAGATGTGATGATGGGGGATAAACCCAAGGAAGCCATGTTTGAAGTCACATTTGACAGGGTTAACTGTGATGTAAAGTGTATGTGCAATATGTTTGACTGTAGAGGTATACTTTGTAGGCACTCACTTGCTATACTCTCTCATGAGAGAGTAAAGGACATCCCTTGTAAATATATCTTGGATAGATGGAGGAAAGATTTAAAGAGGAGGCACACATATGCAAAGACCAGCTACGCTGCTAAGCAGCTTCAACCTCAGATGCAAAGGTTTGATTTATTGTGCAAGCAATTTGATAGTGTTGCTGAAGTTGCTTCTGAATTTGAGGAAACAAGTTCTTTTGTAAAGAATTGCATCTGTGACTTGAAAGAGAAGTTGGAAGCATGGACAACCCGTTTGAGAAACTCATCAGAGGTGGCAGTACCTATAAGCTGTGCAATTGAAAGTTACATGAATGACTAGCGAGAAAACTGTCATTTTATTAACTGCAAACGACCAGCAACACTTAAACCACTTCGGTTGACAAGCTTAATGCTAAGGACAAATGTATAGGTTAGGAAAATCAGGCTTCAGCAAATATAAATTTAGTTACATATGTTTCAGCCCAAAATGGTATTCTTGATCAATTACACCTCTAAACAACACAAGACTGGAAATTGTTTTGCACCATGAAGCGCGTTTAGAGGAAGTATTTTTACCCTTAAAATGCAGGTATAATATATTTTCATCAATATTTTGTATAAATTTTTCAAAACAAAAGTAACGTGGAGTTGGTTTGACATGTTCACATTTTTCCTCGTAGGTGATGTTCACTTAGTGTAGCATATATTCCAAATGTGTAGAAAATCCTTATTTCTATGTTGTACTCAAACTCGTAAGGTAAAAACCTCTGGTGGATCAATAACATGCAGTGCAAGTCCATCGAAAGCAGAAACCTCATTAGTCCACCAAATTGTCACTGAATCACCGTTTTGGTTCGAGAGCACATTGCAACATGACATGTAATTATTATAACTAATATTTTCTTTCACCTATTCTATTAAGATATATAGTTCCACATTGGTTGTATGTGCAATTAATGTGGAGATTATAAGGCCTTGGGCACTCCCACCCTTTGAGCTAGCTTTTGGGGTGGTGTATCCAAAGGTTCTTTATATGGTATCATATCCCAATGTTCTTTACATGGTATCAGAGCATAGGCGCCCCTCACTTTCTCTTGTGGTGTTTCTTAGCATAGGTAGGTTGGGCCTGTTGCATTGTCCACTCTTCAAGCCCAATGGGCTCTTGTGTGAGGGGACGTGTTGAGATATATAGTCCCACATTGGTTGTATGTGCAACTAATGTGGAGTTTATAAGGCCTTGGGCACTCCCACTCTTTGAGCTAGCTTTTGGGGTGGTGTATCCCAAGGTTCTTTACATGATATCATATCCCAAGGTTCTTTACAAACTTGAAAAGGGTAATCATAAAAATATTATTATAATTGTGTAATTAATCTGATACAAAGAGGTCTCTATTTATAGAGAATAACAGACCTAATTCTTGACCTAATGGGTTTGGCCCAATACAACAAATAATAATAATAAAAGACCTAAAAGACCTAATATTTACAGCACTTCCCCGCAAGCTGAGGAATAGATATTTATCATTCCCAGCTTGCTAGTAAGTTCTTGAAATCTGTCTGAAGGAAGTCCCCTTTGTCAATAGATCAGCTAATCGATGCCCAGTGGGAATGTATAGAGTGGTAATCAACCCGCTATCAAGTTTCTCTTTGATGAAATGACGGTCGACCTTAATATGTTTAGTCCGATCATGTTGAACCGGATTATGAGCTATACAAATAGCGGATTTATTGTCACATAGCAGTTTCATAGGTCCCTCACAATTTATTTTGAGATCATCAAGTATAATTTTCAGCCACAGTAACTCACAAATGCCTTGAGCCATAGCTCGAAATTCAGCTTCTGCACTTGACCTGGCAACCACATATTGTTTCTTACTTCTCCATGTCACTATGTTACCACAAAGAAACATGCAATAACCAGTGGTAGATCGACGATCAGTCACGGATCCAGCATAATCAGCATCAGTGTAGACTTCTAAAGAGAGATTGCCATCACGTCGGAATAACAATCCTTTACCAAGAGTAGCTTTAAGATACTGAAGAATTCTCTCTACTACCTGTGTGTGTTTCTCCTTTGGATCGTGCATAAACTGACTGACAACACTAACAGCATAAGCTAGGTCTGGTGTAGTATGAGCCAGATATATCAATTTTTCAACTAGCCGTTGATATTGTCCTTTATCAACTGGAGGATTTTCCTCTTCATAGCCTATCTTGTGATTCTGCTCAATAGGAGTATTAGAGGGTTTACACCCGAGCTTTCCTGCTTCTTTGAGAAGATCAAGAACATATTTTCTCTGGCTGATAAAAATTCCTTTTCTTGAATGAGCTACTTCTATCCCTAGGAAATATCTCAGTTTCCCAAGGTCTTTGACTTCAAACTCAAAGGCAAGCCGTGTTTGCAGAATCTGTCTCTCCACAAAATCATCACCTATGATAATAATATCATCAACATATACAAGGAGCACAGTAAGCTTCCCATTTTGAGAGTGCTTGAAGAAAAGAGTGTGATCTCCTTGACTCTGTCTGTATCCTAAGGTCATCAAGGCACGAGGTGACTGTTTCAATCCATACAAGGCCTTTTTTATTCTACAAACTTTATTTTCTTCCTTCACAGAATCAAAACCAGTCGGGATTTCCATGTAGACTTCTTCTTCTAACTCACCATTGAGGAAAGCATTTTTCACATCAAATTGATTTATATCCCAATTGTAATGGGCAGCAAGGGATAACAAGACTCTTACCTTATTCATCTTTGCAACTGGAGCAAAGGTTTCTTCATAATCAATGTCATAGGTTTGAGTGTAACCTTTGGCGACTAATCGAGCCTTGTATCTTTCAAGAGTTCCATCAGAATTATATTTTAGGGCATAAACCCATCTGCACCCCACTGCTTTCTTTCCGTTAGGTCTATCAATAACCTCCCATGTTTTATTTTTCTCCAACGCATTCATCTCCTCTTGCATAGCTTGAGCCCAATTCCCATCTTTCAAGGCTTCATGTATTGATTTTGGGATTGAAACAGAATCTAGTGCTGAAACAAAGTTTTTGTCCTGCACAGAAAGATTAGCAGAGGAAACAAAATGGGAGATAGGGTATTGAGTACAAGAGGGACAAGAAGAACAAGATTTCTTGGAACAAGATCTTTTCCTTTTCTTGGAGCAATGGGTAAATCATCAGAAGCAGTAGTAATGGGTAAGTCATCAGAAGTATTAACATCATGATTAGAAATATGAGATTCAGGACTTACCAGTGGTTCAGACGATTGAGGTTGCTGTTGAGGCAAGATGGGTTGTTTCCTTCTTTGATATACCAATTCAGGTGTCACAATCTTCCGTATCTCTGGTGTACTTGATGTATCAGTCACAGGAGGATCAATCACAGGAGGATCACTCATAGGAGGATCATACATGGAAGGAACAGGAACAAGAAGAGAAGACACTGACACAAGTAAAGGAGTAGACACTGAAAATTCAGACGAAAAGAAGGAAGGTGATGAGTTTTCTGGTGAATTATTCTCCCCCTGAAGATGAGGACCTTGGAAAAAGGACTCAGATTCCTGAAATGTAACATCCATAGAAACACAAAAATTTCCTACCAGGGTGATAACACTTGTAGCCCTTCTTATCAGGAACATAACCAAGGAAGACACATTTAATAGCCCTAGGGTCCAACTTATTGCGATGATGTTTATGAACATGAACAAAAGCAACACACCCAAACACTCGTGGAGGAAGACTCATAGTTGGAATAGAAGGAAAAAGAAGAAGTTATAGAGTAAATAGGACTTACATGGTCAAGTACCCGAGTGGGTAAACGGTTGATCAAGAATGCTGCAGTAAGAATAGCATCTCCCCAATAGTATTTGGGTACATGTGTCTAAAACATTAATGCACGAACCACTTCAAGAAGGTGACGTTTTTTTCTTTCAGCAATCCCATTTGTTGAGGGGTGTCAACACAAGTAAGTTCATGAATCATACCGTTATTTCGTATAAATTGGGAAAAACTTTTATTAACATATTCAATACCATTATTTGTCCTTAGTCTCTTGATTTTTTACCAAATTGGGTTTCAACCATTTTATAAAATTGAAAGAACAGTTGTGGTACCTCAGACTTTGCACGCATTAAGTAAACCCAAGTTACACGAGTGCAATCATCAATAAAAGAAACAAACCATTTATTTCCAGAAGAATGAGGGACCTTAGAAGGACCCCAAACATTAGAATGAATAAGATCAAAAGGTTCAACACTCTTAGTAATACTAGAAGGAAAAGTCACACGATGATGCTTAGCAAACTCACAAACATCACAATGAAAAGACTCAACAGACTTAGACAAAAACAATGACGGAAATAAAGACTTGAGTAAACTAAATGTAGGATGTCCCAAGCGCTTATGATGAAGCCAAATCAAAGAATCAGCAATTGATTGACCATGAGACAACAAGATTTGATCTGTGACTTTATTTGCGGGAGATTGTGACACCAGATAGTACAGCCCACCTTGCTCTTTAGCACTACCAATCGTCTTCCCCGTGGCGAGATCATGAAAAACACAATGGGTAGGGAAGAAGGTTACAGTACAATTCAAATCTTTTGTAATTTTATGAATAGAAAGAAGATTCGTGGAGAGTTTAGGAACATGAAGAGCATCTTTAAGATGTAAGGACTGCTGTAAGTTTATGTTACCAGAACCCGCAATTGATGTATGTGAGCCATCAGCTACGGCTATGGTATAAGTTCCAATGGTAGGATGATAAGAAGTAAAGGGGTCAGCACAACAAGCCATATGATCAGTAGCACCAGAATCAACAACCCAATAATGTTTAAAATCAGTACATGAAGACAGAAAAGAATAAGTTTTGGAGCTCATACCAGTCATAGCCAAAGCATTAGTATCAGATGGCTTACTCAGATAATCAAGGATGGTGCGGAGCCGTTCCAACTCATCTTGACGGAACGCAAGTTGGGTCTCATGAGGTGCAGGAGCTATTTCAGAGGAAGTAAAATGTGCTTGACGACGCATCCTTGCCTTCTTGTCTAAGACCGTTTGCTTTCTATGGAGGCGAAAACATAGATCCTTGATATGACCCGTTCTTTTACAATAAGAACACCAGCGATCATCTTTCTTCGGTCTAGAAGATGCACTATCAAAAAATTTTCCAAAGGAGTTCCTTTGAGAAGAACCATCCCTTTTTGTTGAAATCATAGCAGACCCATCAGTGGGATTAGAGTCATAAGGAGTTGAAGTAGTAACTTTAGATGAGAGCATAATGGACCCTTCGGACACTTTGGTATCCATCATGACAGCCCTACGACTTTCTTCACCCCTGACAATATGAAAAACTTCATAAAGAGACGGTAATTTTTCCTTAACAAGAATTTGAACTCGAATAGGGTCATATTCTGAGTTGAGACCACAAAGAAAATCATAGATCCTATGGCGTTCAATGGAGGCGGTTAGAGTGGCTGCATCCTTGCTACATTCCATCTTCAAATTCTCGTACTGATCAAGCTCAGTCCATAATTTATTCATAATACCATAATATTCAGTTATAAAGAGAGAACCTTGCTTGGTAG